GCTGGAAAAATGCTCATGCCACCTTCTATGGAGGGGGTGATGCATCAGGCACAATGGGTACGTACGTTTAGAGGCGGATTCAAAATTTAATCTTTATGGTTCAAGATTCTAAGTTTTTGAAAATATGAGTTCAAAACAGTTTATACTGTTACTGAAAAAGGAACTTATAAATACAACGGCAGTGTCACTATATTTTTCAGTGCTTTTTACAGCCGGTTATGTGTACGTATCTTTTAAGTAATATGATAATATAAAATTCTTTTATACTGTTAGTGTATAGAAGTTAAAAAAACATGCCGTATTTGGAACATGCAGGTGGTGCTTGTGGTTATGGGAATTTGTACAGCCAAGGATATGGAACCAATACTGCAGCACTAAGCACAGCATTATTCAACAACGGATTGAGCTGTGGGGCTTGCTACGAGCTAACTTGCAGCAATGACGCTCAATGGTGCCTACAGGGGACTATTACTGTCACTGCCACAAATTTCTGTCCTCCGAATCCATCCCTACCTAATGACAATGGCGGCTGGTGCAATCCTCCTCTCCAGCACTTCGATTTGGCTGAGCCTGCCTTCTTGAAATTAGCTCAATACAGAGCAGGAATTGTCCCTGTATCTTTCCGAAGGTAAAGTTTGATCTTTTAGTCATATACACTTGAGTTGACAGTATAACAATTTTTTTACAAAATCAGTGTAGTAACATGTGATACTTTATAGGTTATTCCCTCCGTTCACTTTTACTTACTTGTCCATTGTATTAAAAATAGATTTTTATTTCTACTTGTCCATTTTAGAAAATCACGAGAAAGACAAACATTTTTTCCTGTTTTACTCTTACCGTTAACTAGGGGTATACATAGGTCGGGTTGGTTCGGATTTTACAATTACCAAACCAAATCAACTGTATTGGGTTATTAAATCTAAAGACCAAACCAAACCAATAAAACTTGGGTTTTTCACTCTTGGTTTTTCTCGGTTTTCTCGGATTTTCGGGTTATTCGGGTTTTTTCGGATTTTTTTCCCTGGTAAAATCTTCGTAGAACAAAACATATAAATTATGCTCAAAATATTTCTTTAATCCTAGTAAGATACAACTATATAAAGTATTTTCCAAGAAAATAATACGAAATATGAGATGTGTCATGACATTATCCTAAAATATTCTACAATAAAGACAGTAAAATTATGTAATATGAATATTGCTAATTTAAAAGCCATAATAAAAACTAAGCATAATCTAAAAGTAATAAGTCATGCTAAAATAAGTAGACTAATAAGGGAATATTAATTACATGACTAAATGCTAAAGAAAAAATAAAAATAGTTTATGCATTTTTATCTAAATTATTGCAAAACAAAAAATAGATATTCCATACATTCCCGTTCGTAGTAATAAATTGAATGTCTTTTGTTAGCATTAGTAATGATTTGATGAAGGTTTGGGCTTTTGTTAGCATTATTTAATTTACTAATATTAATGACTATAAAACTTATTGGAACATTCAAAAGTTCTAAGTCCAACCTTGAAATAATACATTAAAAGATAAAATTATGAAAATTTTTAAGCAATATTTATAAATTACATCACAATAAGTATATTTATATATTAAATATATCTAAAATTTTCATATATGTAATGTCGGGTTGGTTTGGTTTCGGTTTGACTTTCTTTAGTTAAAACCAAACCAAACCAATTATGGTCGGTTTTTTTTTTCCAACACCAAACCAAATCAAACCAAACCATAGTCGGGTTTTTTTTCTCGGTTTGACTCGGATTATCGGGTTGGTGCGGTTTGTCGGTTCCTTTGTACACTTCTACTATTAACTACTCATTCCCCAAATTATTTTTCAAGACTTCTTGAAATCATTGTTCGGGATATTATGGTAAAATATGTAATTCATCTATTATTATATCTTAAAGGGAGTGCAAAGTATATTAATGTTGACAAGTAAAAGTGAACGAAGGGAGTACCATTTTATCATGTTACTAATTATTAATGTTTATTAAGGGGATTTAATTTTAATTACTCATATCTTTTAATTAACCTAGTTATGTAGTGCACATAACTTAAACTCCTTTGATTTTCTTGAAAAGTTATGTTTAATTTTTGTTAACACGGACAAGTGCACGTTTGTTGACACTAAGGTAACTACCCATAATAAGAGGAATATACTAAAAAAGCAAGACTTTTTCTTGTAAGTTAAATTGCATTGACAATGTAATATTTGCATTGTATTGTCTGAATATAAGTTAAATCTGCATAAATTTTGTTTAGGCAGGAATTTAATATCTTATAGGCAGTAATTAAATTATGTAACCGGCTGACATGGAGTTTAATTTGTACTGGTCAATGACAGGGTGTCATGCAACAAGAAAGGAGGAATAAGGTTTACAATAAATGGACACTCTTACTTCAACTTGGTTTTGGTGACAAACGTTGGGGGTGCTGGGGATGTTAATTCAGTCTCCATTAAGGGATCTGGTTCTGGATGGCAAGCAATGTCTAGAAATTGGGGCCAAAACTGGCAGAGCAATTCCTATCTCAATAGTCAGAGTCTTTCATTTCAAGTTACTACAAGTGATGGAAGGACTATCACAAGCTATAACGTTGCACCACATAACTGGCAATTTGGACAAACTTTTGAAGGGGTTCAATTTTAATTCTAGCAAGAAACTTAGTAGGTATAAAAATAAACAAAGAGGCTTTCAACAGTCAAATTCCAATTTCTGTTTGGCTTTATTGCTGTGGTGTGCCTGGTGGTTGGTTAGCACCCACTTAGGCCTAAAGTAGACATTTAGTAAACTAGTTAATACTGCATTTTGAGTCTTTCCCAGTGCATATTTATATCCTTTCCAATGATATACAATTGGTCACATTTATCAAATAGTGGGGTAACTTTTTTTTCTTGCTTTGGGAGATCCCTATCTTTAGTTTGCTCCCTTAGTATCCGAACTTACAATCTTAAGGTTGGAAGTGGAGCGTGGTTATAATGGTGTGGAAGTCGAATATATAGAGGAAATAAATGAGAAAATAAAAAGAATACCGGAAATTAACGAGGTTCGGCAAAATTTAATTTTTGCTTAGTCCTCGGACACAATCAATTCAAACTTTATTTCACTCCAAAAATACAAGTGAAATACTATAAGAGACAAAGAAGATCCAAATGCCTTAGGAGATAAGAAGGCAAGTGAGAGATGTTTGCAAATGAACAAAACCTTTGCTATTTATAGAAGGGAAATTGCCTTAATAATGTCATGCATGACATCATATTAAGTGTGATCATGCAATGTAAATGCATGAAAAATGCATCTACCAATTTCTTCCAAAAAGGAGGCTTTAAATGTTCACACTAGTTCACATTAATCTTGTCAAATTCAATAAATCTCCACCTTGGCAAGATTTCACTTTTTCAATTTTCTCTCGGTGATAAATTTTGATTGTGTCTTAACTTCAATCTTCAAAGTTCAACAATATTGATCAAGTTCAAACAATGTTGAAACTTGATCCCAATCACTACTTTTGTTAGCATATCGGCAGGGTTATCTATAGTCTGAATTTTCGGCACCATGACTCCACCTTTTTATAATATCTCGTACAAAGTGATATCGAACATCAATGTGGTTCGTCCTTGCATGATAAACTTGGTTCTTTGCTAATTGGATTGCACTCTAACTATCACAAAATAGTGTGATATTTTCTTGACCAATACCAAGCTCTCTAAGCAACCCTTGAAGCCAAATTGCCTCCTTTACAACCTCCGTAATTGCCATGTACTCTGCCTCAGTAGTAGACAAAGCAACCGTTTATTGCAAATTAGACTTCCAACTAACTGGTCCGTTTGCAAAAGTGAAAGCATAACCCCTAGTTGATCTACGCTTGTCCAAATCACCCGCATAATTCGAGTCACAATATCCAACCAGATACTGACTATCTTCCTGCTAAAAAACCAATCCAACATCTACAGTATTGCGAATATACCGTAGAATCCATTTTACAGCTTGCCAATGCTCATTTCCTGGATCATACATATACCGGCTTACAACTCCGATAGCATCTGAAATATCAGGTCTTGTGTAAACCATTCCATACATCAAGCTACCAACGACATTCGCATATGGCACTTTTGACATATACTTTTGTTCAGCTTCATTCTTCGGCGACATAGTAGCACTAAGCTTAAAGTGAGGAGCAAGAGGAGTGGTAACCGACTTCGTGTTCTCATTCATGCCAAATCGATCTATTACTCTCTTCAAGTATTCTTTCGGAGATAGATAGAGTTTCTTTGAATGTCTATCTCTTTTTATCTCCATGCCAAGAATTTTATTGGCCTCACTCAAATTCTTCATCTCAAACTCCTTTCTTAGTTGAATATTCAACTTCTCAACTTCCTCTTGACTTTTGGAAGCTATCAACATATCATCAACGTATAGGAGAAGATATATGAAGGATCCATGTTCAAGCTTGCGCAAATACACACAATGATCGTATTTGCTTCTTCTGTACTTCTGCCGCAACATAAACTTGTCAAATCATTTGTATCATTGTCTAGAAGATTTTTTCAATCCGTACAATAATTTTTCAAGTTTGCACACTATATTTTCCTTTCCAGCAACTTTGAATCCTTCTAGCTGAGTCATATAGATTTTCCCTTCCAAGTATCTACGTAAAAATGTAGTTTTTACATCTAACTGAACTAGTTCCAAATTCAACTGTGCTACCAAAGCTACAAAACTCTAATGGAGGAGTGTTTCACGACTGAAGAAAATACCTCATTATAATAAATTCCCTCCTTTTGAGCGTATCCTTTGGCCACCAATCTTGCTTTGTAGCGAACATCTTCTTGGTTAGGAAATCCTTCTTTCTTTGCAAATACCTATTTGTACCCAATTTCTTTCTTTCCCTTCGGTAGATTGACCAATTTTCATGTGTGATTCTGATGAAGGGACTACATTTCTTCATTCATAGCAATCCTCCACTTATCTTCTTCTGAATTTTGGACTGCGTCTTTATAAGTGATAGGAACACCACCATGAGACGAACATATTTCTTTATTGTTCTTTTTGGCTTGTTGGTTGCTATTGATTCAAGTTGTTGTTGAGTTTCCTGAATTGGAATCTCTCTCTCTACTGGATCTACTTCCAAAGGAAAATCTTCTATTGTTTCCTCGTTTTCTCCCTGTGTTGGAAAAATTAATTTTCCCTCAAACTCCACATACTTTGAAGCACCATCAGTTGGTTTGACATTTTCAACTATCACCTTATCTGTTATGGTAGATTCATCAAAGTTAACATCTCTGTTGAATATTATTATCTTGTCTCTGGACACCATAAGCGGTATCTTTTGACTCTAAAAGTAATCCCCATAAATATAGCATTCTTTGCTCTCGGATCCAATTTTGACTCTTTCACATGATAGTATGCAATTGAGCCAAATACATGCAAAAATTATAATCTTCAACAGGTTTTCCATACCGTTTTTCAAATGGTGTCTTGCCTCCAATAGCGGCAGATGGTAGACGATTAATGAGGTGGCATGCATATGTTATTGCCTCAGCCCAAAATTCTTTGCACAAGCTAGCATTGGAAAATATACACCGAACCTTCTCCAGCAAAGTCTAGTTCATGCGTTCTGCCATTCCATTCTGTTGTGGTATATTTCTAACGATGAAATATCTCAAAATGCCATGATCTTCACAAATCTTATTGTAAAGATCATTTGTGTATTCTCCACCGTTATCTGTGTGGAGACACTTTATCTTTCTGCCAGTTTGAGTCTCTATCATCGCCTTCCATTTGAGAAAAATTTCCAGTACCTCATCTTTGATTTTCATAGTATACACCCACATTCTTCGGAAAAAGTCATCAATAAAGGTTACAAAATAGTGTTTCCCACCTAATGAAGGGGTTTTGGAAGCACCCCAAACATCAAAGTGAACATAATCCAAAATACCTTTAGTGTTGTGGATAACTGTTCCAAATTTAACCCTTATTTGTTTCCCCTTGGCACAATGCTTACAAAACTCCAAATTGCAAGTCTTTACTACTTTTAACAATCCTTGTTTTGATAAAATTTTCAAGGATTTTCCTCCAACATGTCCCAAGCGCATATGCCATAGCTTGGTTGCTTCTGCTTCCTTGTTATCACTGGATGTCATTGTTGCTGTCATGGTTTCTTAATCGGATTGAACCAATAACATATGCGGTAAGAGGATTGTTATTTGCGGTGTGAATAACTCCACATTCTCTTTCTTAAAATCAACGAACCAGTCCTGGTTGGGAAACATATGATAGCTACAAGCTGAATCCAGTAACCATATGTCACATGGTTTGAATGGCTCAATTGTAACTAGTGAGAAATCAGAGTCGTCATAATCAGCTACATCTAAATCCATGACAGCCTTCCCATTGTTAGGTTTAGCCTTGTTTTTCAACTTTGGACAGTCTTTCTTCCAATGTCCCTTTTCTCGGCAAAATACGCATTCATCTTTGCTGGATATGAATCTTGACTTGGATCTTCCTTTCTTCATTCTCATATGATTTTGAGAACTGATTGAGGCCAACCCTGTACTACTACAAAGTATCAAGAGAGGTCAAAGCAGCTTTTACCTGAGAAGGTCGAGATCGATTTCCACAGGGAGCTAGATATTGGAGTTGAGTTTCTATCTAAATTGGTGTTGCGTAATTGTTCCTAATTGCACTTCTAAACATTGTTAGTTTTGATTTTACTTCTAATTTTATACTACTAAGATGCTAAATTAGGCTAAGTAAAGCTAAGATTAAACTATTGAAAGTTGTTCAAATAGATAAAAGGCACTAGGGTAGTGACTTTCTCCTAGGTGGTTAATTGACGGATTCTTGAGTCTAAGTCTAGATTGTCACATTTGGGGAGTATGATATAACCATTGCACGATTCTACTCACTCTATACCTCTCGGTAGTTCGAGTGATTTTGCCCGAATTGACTTTCTCAAGACCAAATGGGTATGCCGATTTGTGCAAGCAATTGAGGTTCAAGTCGAGTATTACTATCTCTAGGTTTAACCTTTTAATTGGGGCTATCAATCTCTTGAATACGCCCCAATTCCTTGTTGGACCAATTTCCGAGACTTAGGCTCTCTTTCTCAAGAAGAGCCAAAGTCAACTAGGCATAAACTAGTGTTTGCAACCACTAATTCAACATTAAAACCCTAAATTAGTCCAAATATCAAACACCCATAGACAATCAAGCATCAAAACACAATATCCATTAATTACCCATACTAAGGTTGAGCCACAACCCTAGCTAATAGGTCTAGCTACTCATGATTATAGAAAAAAAACAAAGAAATAGATGAAGAAAAGCCCATAATAATTAATTACTAGATAAAACTTGAAGATTCAATGATGAAATTAAAATTTAAAATTACTCAAAATGGAAAAGAAGAAGTGTTCACGAGCGCAACTCTATCTCAAAATACAACTGATGACCTAAAAATGGGAAAAGAAACTATTTATATTGGGCTAAAATTCTGGACAAAAATACCCCTGTGTGGCTAGTGCGGCCCACACAAAATCGAGTGCGGCCGCACTGAGGCTCTTGGCTAAATAATCTGCTCTCTGAAGTTGCCCACCGCGGACCGCACAATATGCTCCTCGGACGCAGTGGCTTCTATTGCGGTCCACATAAAATGGACCGCGGACGGAATTGTCCAGGTTTCTCCAAAATAGCACCTCTCTGAACTTGTGCTTTGTGGACTACACAAAGTTGAGTGCGGCCGCAATGAAGTCAATGCGGTCCGCACAAAATAATCTGCGGCCGCATTGCCTGGCTGCCTGAATTGCATGCTCTCTAAACTTGAGCTTTGCGGACCGCACAAAATGGTGTGTGGTCGCACTAATCCTGTTAGACTGAGCTTGGCCTTGCTCTTGGTA